GCTTAAGAAGTATGCAGCAAAAATTCAAATGTTATTTTCTACAACTTATGTGTGTGAATAGTTTTTCCTGCAATGAATTTAGTAAAAATTAAAACGAAAAACCGGCTAACAGACTTACCTCAAAACTAATTTAAAACTAGCAGTGACTAATATTTAATCAAATATTTTCAATACATTACATTTACATCAGTTCTAGAAGCTAAATTAAGTATACCTATTCTATTTTATAATTATATATGAATAAATAATTGTGATTTACCGGCATTTTCCTCCCTCTTTTATCTCGTATGTGGCCAGCGTTAGTTCAAAAGTTTTGAAATGTGACCCTTATACAAAAAAAGGTTGCCCATCCCTGGTCTAAGTGGCGAGGGGGAGGGAGGTGTGAAATACATAGTAAGTCTAGATAGAAAAGAAAAGCCACAATTTAATTTAAAACACGAAGAAAAGGTACTTACATTTTAAATAGAAGAAAAATTGAAACTCAATGTTGTCACTTTCGGGGACCACCACTTCACCCTTTTTCTCTTTACTGTGTCCCGACCTACTCTCTCTGTCCCTTTTTTTTTTCGGTTTTACATTCCTTTGTCTACATTTCTTATTTCTCTTTTACAACTGTACGCAAATGGGTTGCACATGGACCGACAAAACCGCATCTGAGGGAGAACGAGGAGGTCCGATATCATTACAGTTGCATTTGTGCATTTCGTTCACGCGTTGCGTTCGGTTACAACTTACAAATGTAACACATTAAGTCAAGACCTCGCGAGCGATCGACCAAAATTGGTTTTGCGATCGACTTGTTGGCCACCCCTGGTATAGTCCATGTGGGGATGTTGATTTCTTCTCTCCTAGATTTGTAGGTTGAGATGTGCTTTGTAACCATTTGACTGGAAGCCCTGATCAGACACTATGGACTTTATTCTATCCAACTCCTTGCATGCATACAATGGATGATAAGCAAATTTTACACTTTACTTTTTTAAATTTATATGTAGATGGATTAGAAAATTTCATGAAACTTCATACTGTTATTCAAAATTCCAAAAATAATCTGCTAAGTTAAGGGAACCAAAATGTTTATTAGAAAAGAAATCTTTCTGGATTAATTTAGTGCAGCAACAACTCTCAAGAAGAACTTAAGTAATTGTCATCATAATTTATTTGCATCAATATGTAAAAATAGAAAACAACACTCACCACACTGGGATATAGTTAATCATGTACTCCAAACCAATTATAGCAGTGTTTCCCAATATGGGGCCCACGCCCCACAGGGGGTCATTGGATTGTTAAGGAAGGCAATTCGAAAATGAACTTGTCCAGAGTTTAAGTTAAGCGTATAGCCACTGTATATGTTAGGGGGGCATAAGAATTTTAGAAAGGCTTAGGTGGAACATAGCACAAAAAAGGTTGGGGAACACTGAATTATAGTGTGCACATAAACAAAACAAAAACAAACATTTTCAAACTCCATCGAGGTCTTCATCAGTCTTTGTAACAATTACTTGATGGATCTGCGTAAAAGCTTTTGGAATAAAAATTTGAACAAGCGTTCAAATATAAGCTTGAAAAATTAAAAACCACATCATGCCTGCACAATCAGTTGCCCTACTGGGACTCAACTAATCTATGTTGTCAATTAACTCTTGCCAGGCCATTGACAAAACCATTTACTCTTCATAATTTATGCTTGTTGATGTAAAATTGGATTTAAATATCTGCCCAGCCTCCAACCATCTGATGTGTTCTGTGGGGGGCAAAGCAAGGATGAGTTTGGACCAGTTAAAGTCCGTTATGATGTTTGGATCTGCTGCGTATGTAGAGAGGGCCATGGTAGTTCTCGCATGTCATATATCAGCGATATGCTCTTGTAACTTGATTTCCATGGAGCACTTGGTTGACCAAATGTAAACCAGGTCTCTATCATATCTGTTGTCCCTAATGGGGACACTATATACGTCAGGGAGTCTGTTTGAGTTAGGAGGGTCCTTCCCATTATGCATCATGCCAAAAATGCTTTATACATATAAGATTCAAAATTAATGGATTGTTACTTGATTTAAGCAAAATACTTGGATAAAGTTAGCAAAAGCTGGTTAATTTCACCTTTATCCAATTCACTACATATACATTATACTCAACAATAATTTATTAAGAAAATTTTCTAGCTTTTAATGATTTTTTATTCAAGTAGATGAACAAATTAAAATTAATATATAAAGAAAATATAATTTTAATGTTAGGAAATACAGTCTTGAATCAAAAAATTTAATTTTTTAATTTTTCATATTTTGTGATTTGAAATTAATATCTAGAAATTATTATTTTAAGGTGCAAGTCATTCAACAGCCAATACATGGTTCTACTTATTTACAACATCTCTACACTTCCCAGCAACAAATGCTTCTTCCTGGAAATTTGACAGTTCAACCTGCTGGTGTTGCACAGACTCTTCAGAGTTTAGGAACTGCACCTGGTGTAAATCTGCAACTTCAAAATAAAACCACTATGGATCCCAAATCAGGAGGTTCAACTATAATTCCTGCTTCTGTACAAAGTGTTAATACAACTGGAAAGGTACATATTAATATTATTTCTTATGCTTGAATGTTTGAAGCTATTACAAGTAAAAATATTTATGCTTATTAATTTTTAACTTTTAATGGATCTTTAATTTCATATATTGAAATGTATTCGATTTTTATATAAAATGTTTATAAATTATAACTGAAAGTAAGATTAACATATTACCAGTAAAACTATCTTGTATTTAAAACAAAAAAGTTTTTTAAATCAGTATTTAATAACTTAAGTCTTAGTAAATATGTTCTATTGTTGATTCTATAGATTTGATTTTTATATTTTAGAATTAACTGCTTGCTATTAAATTTCAGTTTTAATAAGTAGCTTATATGTGCAAATTGAATATTAATTTGATTTATAATTATGCAATGAATTTGGGTTGAAATTTATGGTTTGCTTACATTAGAATATATTAGTTATTTAATATTTAAGAGACAACTTTTTCTTTGTATTTTATATTATTAATAAAAGCATAAATGACAATGATTAATTACAGAAATTNCTCTCGTTTGTGAGTTGGTTTCTCTTCTATTTTTAAGTTTCTAAGGTGAATGGTGAGGAAACCTTCGTCCTAACAAAACATAAGCCCCAAACAAAAATATAATAAAAAACAAAAATAAAAGTAATAATAGGAAATAAACAAAATCACAGTTTAACACTTTATGACTTGAAAGCCATCGACTATAAATATATTATATTTTTTATAAAAAACAAAAATAAAAGTTATAATAGGAAATAAACAAAATCACAGTTTAACACTTTATGACTTGAAAGCCATCGAACTTCCATATAATATGGTAGATCGGTAAATTCACATTCTATATCATCCAGAAATGAAGCAAATTGATGATGATTAAGTCCACGTGCTTGAATATAATTTAAAATTTTGGTGACTATTTTTAAAACATGTCCGATATTTAAAACTTTGGAGCACAATACTTGCTGGTGAATAATACAATGAAAATGTTTAAAATTATTATTACCATGCTGTTTGCATGTTTCTTTTAATCTTGCAACAACTCATTTAGTAAGACCGCTTATGGTAGGTGTACCATCAGTTGTTGCAAGACAAACCAACTTGTCCAATGGTAACTCATACTTCTTCAAAACTTCCATAAGTGCATCAAAAATATCGGCTCCAGTGGTTGTATTATACATAGGAATGATTTCCAAAAGTTCTTCACTTATTTTTAAATTAACATCGCATCCGTGAATAAAAACGGCCAGCTGAGCGATATTTCGAATATCTGTACTTTCATCAATTGCAATAGAGTAGGCTTGAAATGTTAATATTGTTGAATTATGCCGATTTCTCAAATTCTCAGCTATTTCATCAACTCTGCTAGCTACAGTATTTCAACTTAAACTTACACTTTTAAATTTTTTTATTTGTGCTGGACATAATACTTCCGCCGCTTTAATTAAGCATTCACTAATAAATTCCACTTCAGTAAACAGTTTTCGATCTGCTTGTGATTAAATGTGATAATATATAACTAACTTTCACAGCAGCTGTATTGTCTTCAACAGATTTAGTGAATACACTTTGTTGTTTTTGAAGAATTGATTTCAATTCCGACAATTTGTCTTCATGAAGTATTGCAATGTATTGGTCATAGTTTCTTTTATGATTTCTGTCATAGTGCCTTTTAAGATTATATTCCTTAAGAACTGAAATAGAGTTTTTACATATCAAGCATAATATTTTATTCTTGTTTTGGACACAAAAATATTGCAGTTTCCATTTTTCTTGAAAATCACGATGTTCCCTCTTCAATTGATCTTTTCTTATTCATTGTTTTTGAAGTTTTATTACATTTTTATTAAATAAGTTTTTAGTTTAATTTGAATAAAAACCAAAATCCACTTTAGAGTTCAAAATATCATCCGCAAATGATTGAGCAAACACCGCACTTTGTAACGACTTGTACAAATGTGATGTTTATAGGGATATGATGATACTCTGCAAACAAAATAACACAAAAATTACGAGTTGCAGATTCCTTTTTTAACAAGTAATTTATTCTCAGCTTGAACCAGTTCTTTATCAGTTGATCCCAACTTACAAAGCAAAACTGGAGTATTATACAACAGGCGTTGGACCCTTTTTCTGAGCAATCAATTCCACGCGATACAACAAATATCCGCGAGTTGACTTATAACTATATATGTGCCGCATGCGGCCCACGGACCACGTGTTTGACATGCCTGCTGTATAATAACCAGTTATTGAAACTGCGAGAGCAAGAGAATAATATGATATAGGACATAAAATAGATGCTATTTGTTTGGTTTATTTAATACCAAATTCTTGTTTGTATTAAAATAATTAATTCACATTTTATGTTTATTTAAAATAGTTACGAAGTAAATATAGTAAATACATAATTAATATATTATTTATTAATTTATTTTAGGAGGAGATAGTCATGAATTCAGAGAATTCAGCTCCAACATCAACTTGTTCTGTTGCTCCAGTTGTAAATTCAAATGATGCAGGAGTTGGAACAACAGCATCTGTTGCTATGACGTCACTTCCTCATTCTCTTACAGCTTTATCATGCACCTCTTCCTCACAAGCTATTATTTCAACTCCTGTTACATCAACGAGCTCATCTCCTTCAAATCAAGCAATGCTCCAACCACCACCACCTCCTACACCAGTGCCTCCCACTCCTGCTCCTGCAGTAGTTGCTCCTCAGGCATCACCAGTTCATCAGAATATGGTACATCCACCATTTTCTAATGTGACTCCAACACCTTTATCNACAATAATTAAAAACAATTAAAAACAATAATTTTACCAAATTATTATTTTTTAATACATACATACAAACAAAAAAAGTCAAATTGATGTCAAAAAAATCAATCAGCAAAATGATTATGCCTAATTCACAACCCTTGTTTGAGTGACTTTACAAATGCTAAAAATCATCCACATTCTGCCAAAACATGAGTCAAGCCCTGACAAACAATAAACTTTATTTAATAAGGTACATTGTTTTGTGGACCATTAAGTAAATTATAAGGACACTATTTATGAAAATTGAGGGGGGTGCAACAATTATTTTCTGAAAAAGAGAGGGCAGAGGTACAGAAAGTTTGGAAACCACTGTAGTAACTAATACACATGTATTCAGGAATGTTTTGATTCATATTGAGTCATTTTAGTTTATATACAAAAAATGGAGTAGGGAATGATTTTAAAACAAAATTTAAAATTACTTAGGAAATATCATTGCGATCTCTGCTGTTTATTTTCATAAATATAGATAAGTAACTAAAGAAACAATTTTTTAATATAATTTATAAATAAATTATATTAAAAAAATAGATCATATGATTAAATTTAAGCATAAGCATAAGCGTTAAGCATGAAGTGAAAAAGAAAAGCATATGCCTGAGTTTAGTTTGATAAAAGCTATTGATTTTATTCCAAGTAAATACTGAATGTTTTTAAATAAAAGCTAGAGTGCATACTGTGAATCAAACAGAAAATTACCATAAAAATGGTAGGAGATAAGCAATTGGAGTTTTTGTTAAATGTTAAAACTGTATCTAGTTTTGTTAGAAAGATTGCAAGTTTTTGCAATAAAAGCAGCAGAAAGCTATGATATTAAAAATATTTCTGGTGCTATATCTTGATTTTGGGTGCAACTGACAACCAGAGATGAGCTGATGAAAAATAATACTAGTATGGAAACAGAACTGAAAATGAAAACTAATGTAATAAAACCAGCAATAAAAATAATAATAATAAATGGAAAAACAAAGAGCTAATGAAGTATTGGATAGAACAGAAATCCATCAATCTGCTGTATAACTTGATTTCCTATTGTATTTCTTGATATTATTCCCTTGTATTCAGTAGGATCTGTAGGTGCTTGTTTAATTGAAGAATACTTTTGATCAACAGAAGTGACAAAAGATCTGGTCTCAGCATGATGCAACACCAAAAATAATAATGAACTAGAATGTTTTTTACCTCCATCTTCAACAGCCAACTGTAAAACATATTTTTGTTGGGAAGATGAAGAACCAAAAATTTAATCAATGCTCCAGATTAAATGATTAAGATGAATTGCAGGGAATACATATATGTATTTTCTTACTACTTTTTGTACAGTATTTCTTACTTTGCATATAGTCTTGCAAACTATGATCTTGTCTATTTGACATTTTCTTCATCACATCTATGAAAACCTTATATAAAAATAATGAGGAAATGTAATTATGTCTATTTTTTTTAATTTTCTAATTCTTACTCCCCTAGCAATATTTAACATTGCACACATGTTTTTGTTAATCAAGTTGTTATGATACTGACTTGAAAAATTTTAAGCATTTACTAACAAAGTTGTGAGGACCAAATTCCTCATTAAATGTGCAAAAATTTGATTCATTTAAGAAATTATTTTGTTACAAAGAATATGTAAAAAAGATCTGCCATGAAGGTATGAAATAAACAGTACAGTTGACCTCAGGAAAATAGTATTGACTCTGATGCTTAGACATGACAAATTTCACAAATCACACCTAAATTCAAAATTTCCAGCAAATAAACGTCAAAATTATACATCAAACGTTTTCGGCCACTAAATTTATCAGCCTTCTTCAGGAAATACAAACTGGAAACTGGTTATATTTATGACAAATTTGGAACTAAACAAGGAAATGTAGCATTCCTTTGAAAGAAAAACTATCACATTGTAAGTAATAAAGATATAAAAAAATTCTCAGGTGTAAGAAAAGAAAATATCATTGCATGAGATACCAGCAAAAGTTTCAAAGTTTGATCAACACTTGCAGATGAAGTTAAACAAAGGTCAAATTGATTAATGGAGAGTGATCTGTGCCTGATCTTATTATCTAATTTCACCTGGAATAGGAAAGGGACCAATCAAATTAAAAATTTTGGGGATAAATCCTTTAAAAACCCAAAATTCAAGGACTAAATGTGGTCTCTTCCCTCACTCAACCTGTTTGTCCTCTACATCAGTTCCCCTGTTGTCTTGGACTTCATCTTCATCACTTCATCTGTGGCTATCGATTACTACGTCTGACTTCCAGCCAGTCTGCCTCAGGGCCATCCAATCACAATTGAAACTCTGATTGATCATTATTAGACCTGAAATTGCCATTGGATAAGCAGTGAACTATAGACTGAACTTTCCACATTTTATTTCTATCCTAGAGAAGTAGATCTTGACCAGAATTATGTAAGCGTTATCTTCCAAATAAATGGCTTGTTATGTAAAAGTGACCTGTCTCAGTGTTGACAATGTTATGCTTGCATCCCTTGTTCATCTTAACAAGAAGAGAGATTAACCTCTCTCTTCCTCTCCATTTGCAATCTTACAAAAAAAAGCAATTGCTGGTGTTTTCCTATTACTTTAGCTTTTACTTGAGAAGCAAATAAGTGTTCTTTCTTCCTTTTTACTAGTACAAGTAAACAACTTTTAGTTAATCTGCAAATAAAAGCAAAAGTATCTTTCAATCCTATAACTGGGCTGTAATCTTTAAGTAAAAGTTTATGCTAACTTTAATAATACAACAATAAAAATAAACAAAAAGTAAATTCATGTCACGACTACTGATAAATGAAAAATATTAGTAAGCAATTTTTACAATTAATAAATAATTTTATTTTAATTATTCCTTTACCAACAATCTTTGTTTATTGGTATGTTTGTTGTAAATTTATTTTTTGTTCAATACAAATGAAATCTTTTATCCAGTAACAGCACATCAACTCCAGTAAGAACACTTCAATATAATTGAGCTTTGATGCATCAGTGATTTTACATTAGTTTTCTCTAATAAACACAAAACTGCTTAAGAAAAGCAGTTTTGTGTTTGTTGGAGAACAGAAAGATAGAATATTGTCTAGAAAAAATTCCAATAGATTCATTCTTATTTAATAAGAGAATTCTAATAAAGTTATCAATGTTTTATTTATAAGTTGCATTTTAAGTTTTTAACTGTAAACTTATTAGTGTAAGATTATAAATCATCCAAGTGAAATTTGTTTACTTTTTATTAACTTTCATTGTTATAATGATGATAAAGTAAAATAAGAAAAATAGTTTTGTGTTTTTTATTAATAGTACGTATGGATTCTTTAGATTTTCAAAAAGAAAACAATTAGGATTTCTAAGCACAAAACTTCAAAGTGATACTCAAAACATATACTATAAACTCTAATTTTACATGGTTTGCTCTCCACTATCTCCACATTCACAGGAATTAGAGGAACAGCACTCTACAGAAGTGGAAGAATCATAAATATATTTAAACTTCCAAACTTTCACTCTTAATACTGTTGATCATATTCAACATACAAAAAAACATTACACTGTACTGTAATAGTGTGAATAACTCTCCAATACTGGGATAAAATAAGCATACACAATATACCAATACCAGCAAAATTGAAAATTGAGAAATATTTTATGCAGCCGTTTTGTGCCTGACATTGTCTGTTATATACAGATGAAAATGTTAGTAAATATTTCCTAATTTTCAATGTTATTGGTATTGGTATATTGTGTCTGTAATAGTGTTTATAAATTTAAAATTACAATATTCATAATGTAGGCTAACATATACACACAATCACAATGAGTGAGATGCAATACAGTATGTATACAATTTGTGATGCAATATACTGTATGTATGGTTTATAGATAGGAATAAAATTTTTACAGTTGATAAAACTTAGTACACATAGTATAGTACTGTGTTTTATAAAGGTTACTAATAAAAGTTGCAAGAAATCTAAGATAAATCACACACTGAGAAACAAGACATGTGAATTGGCTAGTTCCAAGACTGTATAATGTTCTCAAAATGCATAGTTTGTAGTTCTGTAGTACACTGAAACTTTTTTAAAAATTTTTAACTTTTTTTATAATAAATTTGTGTAGGTATTTATGGTAGTAAATAATAAAATAGATTAATAACACACACATTTTATGCATTTAATACTTGCTAAACTTTTTTATTTTGTGCATCATCTGCAATTTTTTTTTGTACTGGGTCACTAAACCAATGAATAATCAAATTTTCAAAAGTTGAGATTTGATGTAATATAATTGGTTTCTGGAAAATCATTGTACAGCAATGTATCATACTTTCTATTTACTCAGTGACATAAATTAGTTTTCTAGAAATGCAGTTTAAGTTATATAATATTGCATTAAAGTGGCAAACAAAAAATTTAGCATTTAAGCATGGCAATTCATGCTATCATTATAGAAAATTTATACCAGTCACAAAGTAGGATGATCATGAAAATATAACTTAGATGTAAATCAGGAAATTTATTGTATTTTTTAAAAAAGTTTTGTGAATATATTTGAAAAATNAATCAGTCGTAGTACTGATAAAATTTACAAAAAAAAACTTTATTTATTTTAATCCTATATTTAGCGACTAAAAACAAATTTTTCCGCAATTTTTATTATTAAGTTTTTGCTTTGTGTCGCAAGTTTATGAGGAGGAAAGTATGATCTAAATACGAAATAAAATTGTAAAAAATTCGGTAAATTTTGTGATTTGTTCAAAATCAAAAGTATGAATTAACTTGGCACACGGAGTTATCTTCGAAGGTCATTCATACTAGAAAGTAAGCCTCAAAAATTATATTTTTAATTTATTCTATACCAAAAAAATCCATTTTCATAAAAAGAATTAACTCTGGCAATCAAAAATAGCTATATTTAGAATATTTGCATATTTTCTTTTAAGTTTCAAGTCCACCTCCACCGTAAAAATTTGGTGAAAGTAAACTAGCGCTTAACATAGAAAAAGAATTTAATATAGAAATATTAGCGACGAAATGCAAGAAAAATCAATATAGATTTAAAAAATATTTATCAGTAAAATTAACAAGAATCTGAGCAGATTAGCGGAATAATTAATGTAAAAATGAATTATATTTTATTCAAATTGATTATTATTAATGGTTTATAATTCACCCTAAAGAGATTAAATCTTAGAGATGCACTTCTGTTCTTACAGCCAATCACTTACACTTAACAACCTCAAGACTATGTTTACGTAACCTTAAACCTTGAAAACAAAGCCGAACATAAATTAGATAATGCAACATTTACAAATCTCTCACCCAAACACGCCGAATTCTGGTAGAATCAGGAGTCTGAAAATCTTTGCAACCGCCATTAGAGTTTGAGAAGTCGGCCACCAGGTTTCTCCTGTCGCCTTGTTTTTACTCATCAAACACGTTACCTAGGCGACCATGGAGTCAGCCATGCTGCTACAACCTACCTGTATCCTGATTGGACAATGACAACTGGAAAGAGGCGGCACCAAAAGATGCCTAGTTCACAACTGAAAGTAAGCTATCAATCAGGCACCGTTTGTGATATTACAGCTTGAGTTAGGAAGAGTCGCTGGACTAAGAATGTATTAGATGGTTCCGACGGGACTCTATGAGTGCAGAATTGGTGATACGAGTACTAAGTAAACATAAACATATACATGTACCATATAATGAAAAGCTATCGATGGCAGTATATACCTACCTGAATTTACAATGTCAGCCGGAGCGGGTTGGTCTGCTAGTACCACGTTGCATTGGTACGTCATTCCGTTTGACCTCCCCTAACATCATGTTAGCGAGTGGTGTTAACCCTTCACCCCATCTTCATTGATGGAGCTTCCGTCCCAATTCTAATCCTCCTCGTCTAAAGAACGAAACATTGGGATTTTGTGCTGTTGTTTCTTTTTTGTTGTGTGTGTTGTGTTCTTCGACGTGTACAGAAAATCCTTCGGGTAACCTAAAGTTGCCGATTGCAGTTAATCAGGGTACAAAATTGCGATGTGGTATCCCTGATTCTTGGCACAGTCATGAACCATTTGGGTACTATGTATGCCACGAAGAGGCGGCGCAGGAATAGTAAAAGGTAAGTGATCTGTGAACTTTTCTAACCACACCTTGTCCGACCCTGTCACGACCTACCCTGAGGGATCCTGCAGATGGGTGTTTAGAGATCGCCCTTTATTTGCCGGCGGCCGTCTGTCATCTTCCACAGCAACTTGTTCCATGGTAGCGGAATAATGGGGCACCACACGGAAAGGATAATCCTTCTTTTCGCTTCGGTCACATTCGCACACAGGCGACGTTACGTGTCGACTTTGCATGTTGCGAGTCATCTGGCTGCCTGCCCTCTAATTTTCTTATTGATCTCCTCGATTGTTTTGTGGTTTTCCCTAGTCTTCCTCGGGCGATGGGATGCTGCCCGTTATGTCAGTTGGGTGCAAAAATGGAAATGAGCCATGAGATTCTTTCGCTTCCATATTCAATATCAAGTGCAACAAGTTGGCGTTTTTTCCACTGAAAATATTACTTAAAATCCAATTTTTTAACAGATTTTGTGCCTAACTTAATCAGAAATTTGTTAAGATAATTAATTAGACCTCCTAACCGAATTAACGACGATTCAATTTTGTATCATTAGCTTAGGTACATTATAAATGCAGAGATGCAACAACAAAATATTAATATAAAAGAAAATTTGGCCTCTAATTTAAATAATAAATTATATATAGACTATAATTTATCTTATTTAAAAACGTTTATAAATAATTTATAGAATGAAGTAATTTTTCTTGCATAAAATTAATTATTTTCCATATTTTCTTCGTAAGAAAACGTCTTTTATCGTTCTGTTTCTATGGTAAACTAGCAAGATTCAGGATACAAATTAGGATTTAAGTAAAAATTATTAAGTAAACATATTTTATATTTAATTAATTGGAATTAAATGATTAAATTTGGATTATAAGTTCTCAGAATGAACCAATGACAAGTACTCTTATAATCAAGTATTTATCTTTATATCAGTTATCGTCTTATAAATTACTTAACCTATATACAGTCACGTTTAAACTTCAACGTTAAAGTAGCGTATTTACATGGAAAGAAAATTTAATTCTAGTTAAACATTAAGCAGTTTGTTATTCTGCATAATGAATTTCTATAGTGAAATACTTTAATTAATATTAGTCTCTTTGTTTCTTTACGTAATTTTCCTTTACATNATGTTACAAAATTGTCAGTTTTTCTATTGAAATTTTGAAATTAAATTTGTTTCAAATTTAATAATCTAAAAATTAATAAAAATCAGTACAAGACTGATTTATAATAAATGCCATATAAAATATTTTAGTTAATACTTGGCTCTTGCATGTATATATTATAGCTTTGCTTATTCTAAGCTTAATTCTACTTATATTTCAATAAACATTAACTGGTTAAGACATTCTTAAAATTTAGCATTAACTGCAAACTAATATTAAAAGTTAATTCTGACATATTGTCAGAGAGAGCTTATATATTATAAAATAATGTCAGCTTCTTGTTCTTTCACTTGAAAGTTCTGTCAGAATCATAGGGGAGTATCTAAAACTAATAATTAACAAAATTATAGAAAATTAACAAAAAGAATATATATTTTTTCTTTTCTCTCATACTTTAAGCATATCACAATCTGCATTCACCATTCATTTTATTCATCACATTTAATCCTTTCTTGCTTGATGGGACACAACCTTTTTGCACATTATTATTTCTAACTTCTTTTTTCCAATTTATAATATACTAATCTAAATATGTTATTCAAATATTTGCATTGATACATATTATCTATGCTTATATTTTATAATTTTAATTATTCTTAATGCGAACAGCCCAAAATGAAGTAAGTCATTTAAATATTATTAGGTTTTACGCGATGCATCTCAATTTAGAAAAGGGAACAAGACGAGAAAACGTTAAAACAAAGAAATAATTTTTATTTAAAGTCTAAAAATTATTTTTGATTGATTTTAATCAGTAAAAGTTTAGTTTAAACGTAAAAAAAGCATTAAGTTGCTGTCGATAACATCAAAAGAACTTAGATAAGTTTCGTTTATTTTTAACAAAGCATATTTAAATCTAAGAATAAATGTAGTTTGAGGCGAGTAAAAGCAATTTAACTCCTACAATATTAATGACTAATTTCTGAAAAATTCAAACTTGTAAGGCTATTTTTATTGAAGTCTTGCTTACAATACGTAATAAAAAAATATATAAAAATATATACAGTATCTTCTTTTAATATATAAAATATCACTATTTTATATATTTTAACTAAAAGTATGTACAATAAGTTCAACGCCTAATCTTAAATTAAACTTGCGATTGCAAACTTCATATTAAATATATTGTATTTATTTTACAATTAATTAAATTATATAAAATGTATCTTTTGTTGCGAATTAAAGAGAATTTAATCATGTTGAAGTGCATTCATAAAATATAGAGATAGATTAATTGTGATTTTTTAATAACAATACTAAAATATAATGTACAATACAGAAAACAATATAATGAATCATATACATCAATCTCTTTCATTCGATATACACACCAAGTTAATTATGGAGTTTGTAGATGGATTCTATACACAACCCTTCCACTGTCGAAATATTAGATAATTTCTTATTAATTTTACATATACAATATACTACTGTATTATGTTTTAAGGTTATATTCATTTAACTTATTTATTCCCATTATTTTAAAATCATTTCGCTTATATATGAATGTAACACAAAAATCTTTTCAATTCGTCCTTTTTGTCATCGAAATTTTCAAATTATCTAGTTGTTTTGTAAATATATTTTCCAGTTTTAATAAAATATAAGCTGATTTTCATGATGTATGATAAATTATTTTAAAANATTTACATGGAAAGAAAATTTAATTCTAGTTAAACATTAAGCAGTTTGTTATTCTGCATAATGAATTTCTATAGTGAAATACTTTAATTAATATTAGTCTCTTTGTTTCTTTACGTAATTTTCCTTTACATTTAATAATAAATAATTTAAATTGCAATCTTTTTATAATTTTAATTATTCTTAATGCGAACAGCCCAAAATGAAGTAAGTCATTTAAATATTATTAGGTTTTACGCGATGCATCTCAATTTAGAAAAGGGAACAAGACGAGAAAACGTTAAAACAAAGAAATAATTTTTATTTAAAGTCTAAAAATTATTTTTGATTGATTTTAATCAGTAAAAGTTTAGTTTAAACGTAAAAAAAGCATTAAGTTGCTGTCGATAACATCAAAAGAACTTAGATAAGTTTCGTTTATTTTTAACAAAGCATATTTAAATCTAAGAATAAATGTAGTTTGAGGCGAGTAAAAGCAATTTAACTCCTACAATATTAATGACTAATTTCTGAAAAATTCAAACTTGTAAGGCTATTTTTATTGAAGTCTTGCTTACAATACGTAATAAAAAAATATATAAAAATATATACAGTATCTTCTTTTAATATATAAAATATCACTATTTTATATATTTTAACTAAAAGTATGTACAATAAGTTCAACGCCTAATCTTAAATTAAACTTGCGATTGCAAACTTCATATTAAATATATTGTATTTATTTTACAATTAATTAAATTATATAAAATGTATCTTTTGTTGCGAATTAAAGAGAATTTAATCATGTTGAAGTGCATTCATAAAATATAGAGATAGATTAATTGTGATTTTTTAATAACAATACTAAAATATAATGTACAATACAGAAAACAATATAATGAATCATATACATCAATCTCTTTCATTCGATATACACACCAAGTTAATTATGGAGTTTGTAGATGGATTCTATACACAACCCTTCCACTGTCGAAATATTAGATAATTTCTTATTAATTTTACATATACAATATACTACTGTATTATGTTTTAAGGTTATATTCATTTAACTTATTTATTCCCATTATTTTAAAATCATTTCGCTTATATATGAATGTAACACAAAAATCTTTTCAATTCGTCCTTTTTGTCATCGAAATTTTCAAATTATCTAGTTGTTTTGTAAATATATTTTCCAGTTTTAATAAAATATAAGCTGATTTTCATGATGTATGATAAATTATTTTAAAATTATTTTTTAATGTTAAATTCGCCCCAAATTTACTCCTCTGGGATTTATATTCAGTTCTTTTCCTTATTTATATAGAAGATACATAAGTATATAAATATATTTGCATATATCTTCTATATTAATAAGGAAAATAAATAAATATAGACCCCAGAGAGCTGAATTTGGGCGAATTCAAGATTAAAAATAATTTTAAAAGTATTCTTATGTATATCTTAGTATACATATCTTCTATAAACTAATGATTCTTCTATGTTATGTACTTTATTTGTATCTTCTTAATGAAATCACTAAGACACTTATCAATAAAAAATCATTTTAATTAAAATAAATGCACAGAATTTTATTTTGTATTGCATATGAATAAACCTGACCTTGTACCGTTAATAAATTTATTAAAATTAAAAAAATATATAAAATTTATAGAATTTTTAAGGAAATAAAATTTGAAAAAAGCTTAAAATATATTTGAATCTGTAAATATTTATGTTAAGATATAAGATATGTATATTATATATACATGCACTTAACTACAAACAAGTTTTTATGCTATAGGCGATTTTCCAAATGCCTTGAAAAATTAATTTCTGGTAATTTATACCTTGATTTTAATTACGTTATCCTTGTATTGATTTTACTAACAAATTATTAAAATATTTATAAAAATAAAAATTAAAAACAGCTTAAATTTTTTTAAATCGCAATTTTAGGCATTCCTAACTTAAAAATTTTGATATTTTCGTTAATTTTTAAACCATTTTATAATATTATATATTTAAAAAATTTAATTTTAATCGAATCCTTGATACGTTGCGAGGGGGGAAAAAGCGTAAGAATTAATGAATAAAATGAAGCGTGTGGATATTTATGGAATTTCAAAAATAATTATATTGTTCTTTGCTAGTGACTGCTGCTGTTGTCTTCGATATCTTAACTCTTTTAAGAGAATTAGAA